AGACGATTCTATGCTATAATCACCCTTTATGAGGAGGGATACGATCGGACATCCGTACTGACCAACATCATGTGTAGTTTAAGGGATTGACTCTACGGATAATTCGTCTGAGCCAAGTGGAAATGTAGTATAGGACACTAACTCAGACATCGCCACTCCGGTAAGTTTGACGGAGGTCACCGCAAAGTTCCCTGTAATAGAGAGGAAGCAAGCAAAATTCAGCCAGTTTGACTTCGTAAGACAGATTACTGACATTCTTTACCAGCTTTGTAGTCGTAGTTTGCATACGTTCCAGCTCTAATGAATACCTAGACCACGTACGTCAGGCTTGGATGACGGATTCAAAATGAGAACGAACAAATGTCCAGTATGTTTTATAAACCTGCCTAAATTCCCGTCTAAATTGTCTTTTGCTACCTTCGAACACTGCGACTGCGCAATAAACGAATATTGTGTCAGGAATTGGGGACTTATGAGATTTTTTAATTTCGGGGTGGCTAAAATGACGAGCCATAGTTGCAAATGGGCAAGAATTCCTGTTTACCCCGACTAACCCTGATCGTGATCAAGGAAGGAGTTCACTCAAAGACTCCGATAACGAAACCATTCCATGTACATGCCATACGACAGTTCAGAGATTATTACGTATTCAGGTTTAGCAATACGGAAATTGTGTTTGCAAGCGGCTGTCATTACTGTATCACATTGCAGCCATCATCCATAAATGTAGTCCACCCTTACAGTAGTTTTTCTTCTGACGTATTCCCCTCCGCGCTTCAGTTGCAGAATCTGGTATTGTAAAACCAAAGCTGTCGAGTCTGATAGTCTGGTTTAATAGTGCCCTCTGGGCTCTTAAAATCTCTTAATTCATTTGTTTATTTATTATATCCTATTTTTTTCAAGTCCCAATCCACCGTTCTATAACGTCGTGGTACGTTGTTGGCCGGCAATGGAATTCATTTCAGATGACTGTTATTTATTGGAGTAATGTCTGGGTACCTTAAGTAGAACCAGAAACTGTGTAATGTAACTGGCCTTGATCGCTCTGAGCTATTACACGACACCTTCTTTAAATGCACCAATTTTACCCAACTGTGTAAGCTCGTAGTGGCGGTCGAGTTGGTCTACTTTTATTTTTGTCGGTCAGTTCTCCCGGGTTCTCGGTCTGCAGATTTGCAGTCGATATTTATTTCATCTTTGATCAGTTAAGCATTGGATTTAATAAGTATTGTTATGATTATGCAATGGGAGCATTGCAATTAATGGAAGCGAACATCCATATACAGAAACAAAAAGAATATTCGATATCGAACTGAGCAATAGCGTATACATAGAACGCTCTATTCCAGCTACATTTTTTTCTAGCATAAAATCTACATTTAATGAGAAAAAAACCTTCAA